GGAAATAATGATTGTGCTACTATTTTGAAGTAGCATCTGTTCCTCGTGGTTTGTAGCATGTATTTGTCCATGTTGTGTACTCTGTGCTAGCCACAGTTTTTAAAGTCCAGGTTTGTACCTTTTTAAAAGAGTTGGGGAAGAGGAAGAAAAGAGGCACTTCAGATCTCCTTTGTTTCTAAATAAATGACATGATTTCATTTACAGTTGCTGTGAAAAAAAAAAAAGAGATTGCTCCTAAATTCTTACTTTGTTCTTCACTGAAAAATATGTTAATGAAAATTGCTTACATGTAAAACCCATTCTAGAGTAATGAGAGTGCTCTTTGTTTTTTGTTTTCAGCACCAAAGGGAATACTCCATCTCTCTCCTGATGTTTATCAAGAGATGGAAGCAAGCCGCAACAAGTCAGCCCCTGGTACCACTGTAAGCTATTTGTCATCCAAAGAAATGAGCCAGACTTCTAGCTCTTTCTTCAGCATATCTCCTACAACAAATAGCACGGCTACGATTGCCAGGGAACTTCTCATGAATGGAACATCCCCAACTGCCGAAGCCATAGGTCTAAAAGGAATATCTCCGGCTTCCCCCTGTTCTACAGTGCAGCCTTCAAAACAGCTGGAGTATTTGGCAAGGATTCAAGGCTTTCAGGTATGGGAGAGGGAAAATGAAGCTCTTCAGCCAGAATCATAGCGTTGCCATCAAGGTTTCACTCTCGCCCTTTTGAATGTGGGCATGCATGTAACTTATCTTGTAAAATTAGCTGGTGTCCAAGGCAGTTTCTGGGTCCAGGAGATACAACTCTGCACCAATACACGTCCTTCCTTCTCTTTTTTGTTCCTTACATTCATCTTACTGCAGGCCATCTTTCTGTCCTTTGTTTATTCTCCTTAAATAATTACAGGCTTAAATTATGCTTTTTACTTGCACTTCTTTGAGTCTTCACCTCTTTGCGTTAGAAGCTTTACATGCTGCTCTGGCATTGGTTTCTCTCTTCAACTCTGATCCAGGAGGTACCGACACAGCACCTTACCTTTGCGTTTGTCTTCCTGGCCAGGTCATTAAAGTAATTCCTTTGCTTCCCACCCTGCACCTCTTAGCTGTAACCTGAGAACTATGTTTTGCTCAGAAGGTGCAGCCTAGAAGCAGACCTGGTATCAGAGTAATGCAGAATGTTTTTTGCCATCACAGTCAGTACTAGAGAATGTAAGATGAACCGCACTGGGTCAGGTCATGAGTCCTTTGGCACTGATAACCTGTATCCAGCAATGACAAATACCCTACATTTCACAGGACAGTGGCAGCCTCTGTAGTAGCAGTCATTTATGTGGTGTGGAAGATGGGAAAAGGAAGCCTCTTCCTTATCACGTTGTATGCAAAATTACATGTGTAAATGGATAGTGGCTCATTTTACTGTGTTGCACCATCAGAGATAGGACCAGCTAGATAGAAATATACTTTTTCCTGTCATAGGTTTTTCGTTTGGGTTTTTGCTTCGTTTGGGTTTTTTTTTCCTTTTCAGAGTTGTGAATTTGTTTCCTTCAAAAAGCTGGTTTCGTATGCTGTAGCATATGTAATTTGGTCATGTCACAAAATTCTGAAAATGAGAGGCTTCTGTTAGAATTTTTGCATGCCTGATAATGGATTTTTTCATCAAAGCCCATGTAATTTACAAAGTATGCAGTTGTGGAAGTAATTTAAAAGAGGCTGCTAGAATTCAAGAAATAGTGTCAGATGTTCTGTTGCTATAAGCAACATAGTTAAATTACATTTGCCTACATCAGATATCACCAGTTGTGGATTTGACCTAACACTGTTTCTGTGTAAAATGTACATTCAGCTTTCTTTTGGTCTTCATTTTTGAAGTGTCATTTTGGATTCATTAGTTTGAATGTGTCTTAACGAAAGAAACGATAAAAGCCTCAGCCTCGCTGTAGTAGAGTTAAGCTGCTAAAAGGAATTCAGTTTTTCTGAGTTCCATTTGTTACCTGCCTGCAGTAGAAACAGATGAATTCTGATGAAAAGAAATTCAATCCGTGAAGTTTTCACTGCTCGCTTTCACATCTTGTCAGATTGCTTGTGTCTACTAGTAACGCTTTATTTTCATAGAACCGATGCACAATTTATGTTACTGTTTTGGTTCCTACTTGCCTACAGTATGTGGTAACTGTAAAATGATTAGTTGTGTTTGTCCTGGGGTTTTTTTATGCTTTGATTCTAGATGCTTATGTAGAAATTGTTTTTAAAGGGTCTTACCTTGAGCCAAAAAATATAATCCATTTCATCCGTAAACTAGACTACTACTTTTTACTTGGCCCTAATACAAATCAAGGAATTTGGTACAGAATCTTGATTATTAACATCTATCCACTGTGTATGTAACTGACGGTTTTACATCATCTTAGCAAGCTTTTTAACACCTTGCTTGAATAAGCTTGGTATTGATGTGAAACTGCCACTGCTGGGTGGCTGAGACGAGGTGGAGCAGTGAACAGAATCTCTGTGGGAAATGGCTCAGTGGCCTGTCAGGTGCATATCACAGGTCTCTTCACCATTTCAGCCTAGAAGGCTCTTTGTGTGTAAGAGTTTAAAAGCCGATTTCTTTACAGGTTAACTTTCTCAGGCATATTTGCTAAGTAGAAAACTACTGCATTTGCAAATAGCTAGCTTGTTTCATGTTTCCTAAATGATCCAAAATGATTTTTAAATTGTTAGCATGTATTTGTATTCTGGTCCGGACGATAACCATAGTTTTGTCTTTCATTGAAGAACGTATACATTCTGTTCTGTTACAATGTATTTTTGAATTTTTAAAAAAAATCAATAAATACTCATATGATGTTTCATTTGTAAATGTAAACACTGTTATTTGCTTATTTGAATGGTTTTCTTGAACTACTTTAGCTGCAGGGGACACATTTTTTCCACGTGGTTATTTAATTTAAATTCTTCTAAACTGTTTGTATATGATCTCATCCATGTTCTATTGTAAGCCTTTAATATTAAGAGTTACTGGGACCAATGTATAGCTCAGTTCTAAAAAATTGAATTTTTATTCTTTATGGTTTATTATGCTAAAGATTTTTGTAATTGATAAGCAGCAGCTCAGTGTCACTGAAAAACAGGTACTTAGCTTGGATACGTTCAAAGCTCAGGCTTCAAATTACCAGCGATAATTAAACACACATACTTCAAGCAAGCCCTTACAAACTCTGAATAAAGCATTTTTTAGTGCTTACTTCATATTTATGAATACGATCTACCCGTTAATTGTTTTGCAGACTTTGCCTGGAAATTGTTTAAAGGAAAATTCAGCTTTGGTAAAATTGTTATTTTTAAGTGACTATGTGGTATTTTGGCCATTGTTTTGTAACCAGATTAGGAAAGTTATTTCTGCTGACTGTTTAAGTGCAGTAAATTATTCAGAGAGTTTGTTTAAATGGAAACATTTAGAGAAGTTGTTTACACATTACTAACTTGAGCCTCCAGTTTTTACTGAGGCAAAACACAAGTTGCAGGTAGTCCAGTAGGAAATTCCACTGGGAGTTTCCATGAAGTAAAGGTCGTAAAATGTAATGGTTGAGTGCCCACAGTCAGCCCCAGTGCGTGGCTGCAGCCATACTTGGCTTGCTGCATTGGCAAGACTTGGAGATCTTAACTCTTTCTCTGTAGTGGCTACATAACAAAACCTCACACAGGACATAGTTTCTATGTGATATATTCCCTTGATTGCAATGGTTACACAATTTATTTCTTTTTGCCCCTCCACATTTGTTTAGTGGCTGTTACTTTCCATACATTGATAGACTTTAATGTTTTATTGCTTGGCATTTCTAAATGTTCCTCATTTCCCCAGTGGCACATGTTTCTGAGTGACTGCATGCACAGGAGAGATCCTGCTGGATGCTCTAGAGTCAGGTTTACTTGTGGCTCTTACATTTCAGTGCATGGGTTTGAATTATTGGCAGTTAGGCTGAAACTAAATTTCTACACTTGTCTTATG